GCGGTTATTTTAACCGCCACAAAAGAATGATATTTTCAGCGGGTTAAAACCGCCACAATCATTAAATATTGTTACACGTGACAACCATTTTTTTATTTTATTATTTTCATGTTAAGGAAAAGAAAAATTACAAATGTACCATCAATTTTTTATTTTCATTTTTTTAATTCGAAATAGTTTCAATATTTCCTTTCAGCATGAGTCGAAGCGGTGTTAAATGGCAACCCCAAGTGATTCTATGTGCCCACTAAGCAAAGACATATCAATAGTGGAATAGAATGGAATCAACCAAATAAGAAAACCCATAAGCATGAAGAGGCCATCGCGCCCTACTCCTCAACTGAATGAAGGATGATCCAAGAAAATACGAAGACCAGGAATGACTTCCTAACCAAAGCAAAGTCAGGGATATATGTAAAAAAATAAAAATAAAAAAAAGAGCAATGTATGCTCAAGTTGAAAACTGAAAGGCGGCTTGAGTATTCCCTTTAGAAAGCAAGAATTCATAAAGGTTTCACTCCGAAGTCGAAACACCCACATTCAAGCAAGTGGGAATGCGTTCCTAACGTAGTTCAACCAATCGTCAACCATGCCTCTCTAGGGGGCAACCTCGGTTAATCTCTCTGTGTACGAATCACGAACTCGGGGCATGCCCGGGCCTCCGAGCTTTGCTAAAGGGGCACGTGTAAATTGAAAGTACTGTTTTAAATGTCATAGCACTCTTTCGTTTCTCTTCTCCCTTTAAATATTCACTCTAGGCCTAATCCATCAACCCTTAACAAACAAAACGTATTTGCGACAAAGATGTTACTCAATAATAGCATGGAAAGGATAACAAAGGAACAATCAGAAATCCAAACATGACTAGGGTTCAATAAAAATAAGGACGTCCCACACAAATGCTGCGAAAAAGAAGGCCCGACAGGAAACCCACTAAGGGGGCTGCGCAAAAGTTAGGGCAAGATCTGCTAGGCAACCCACAAGTAAAAATGGGTAACCTAGGCAAAAAAAGAAAAGAGATCAAAAGAAAACTGTCTACTAGGAAACACATCCAAAGTGACCTACGCAAAAGTTAGGACGTTAAAGCAGTAACCTGAGTTGAAAACCGAAAGACAGCTCAGGAGGGATCATTTAATCAGAACACGACCCCAAGTCATCACTCCACTTTCCAAAAAGGCTAAAACACAATGATAGCTTCTTTGTAGCAAATATGCTTTGTTTAATAACCCTAAACACCAAAGCCTACCTTGGCCAGCCATTCTTCTAAAAAAACTCTTTTTGAAAAAATCCCTTCTTACAACCCCTTTTGAAAAAAAACAAAATAATAATAATAACATTCCTTCCTTCTTTTCTCTTGACCCTTATGGCATTAAAATGGTACCGAAAAGATACACGAAAAATGCACAGTGAATACTCACAGAGGGAAGATCGAGATGTCCCCAAACAGAGCTGGGAGACGCTTGACTACACATCGAATGGATAGTCAAGGAGCCACTGAAGCTTGGGCTCAAAAGAACATATCTCGACAGTAATCAAGATTGGCATGGATAGAAAGAAATCGTCAACATTAACCTTAACACGTACAGGATAATTTCCCGACAAAAAAAATTGAATTGCATATTTAGGAACAAACACATGAGCATAAACTACATTGCATGCATATGAGGTAGGGGCATATGGAAGGGTGTTACACAAAAAAAATGAAATAAATAAAAGAATCATTCATGTCTTGCATTTTCATTGCATTCATGGATCCATACATTCTACTTGCTATGGGTCAGAAGGACTCATTAGGAAAAAAAACTTGTAAAAGCTCAATAGCCAAGCATGAGTCGAAGCGGTGTTAAATGGCAACCCCAAGTGATTCTATGTGCCCACTAAGCAAAGACATATCAATAGTGGAATAGAATGAAGTCAACCAAATAAGCAAACCCATAGCATGAATAGGCCATCGCGCCCTACTCCTCAACCGAATGATGGAAGATTCACGAAAATGCCAAGACCAGGAATGTTTTCCTAACAAAGCCAGGAGTGGCTTCCAAAATAATACTTATCAATGAAGATTGAGAAAATAACATCATCATGGGATGAGATCCTTCCACCAATGATGACAACAAAAGATCAAACAGAAAAA